CGTAATTTTAGAGAAAGAAAATATGATATTTGAGTGTTCCTAATTTTTTTTTTAATGTGGCTGATAAGAAATAAAATCAGTATCTCTCAACCTTGTTTGTACATTCGAATCACTCCATCCCTGAACAAGCTATTCATAAATTTTGGTATTCAGCCCTAAGAAATTTTTTAAAACACTCCCTGTTGGTATAATATCCAGCCAAGGATGATGAAAACTGTGGGGTAGTGTGCAGCTTGTGTTTTGCAAAGTTGTTTTAAAGTTTATTGTAAAGAATCCTTTTTTGCCTGTAGGTGGCGTTCAGCTACTGCAAGTTAATCATGTAAACCAGATTGAGTTGTCTTCCCTGCTTGTTTTTAGCATCTGTATATTGATTCATAATAAATGACTAAACATTAAAATCAGCTCATATAAGTGGACCAGATAGTAAAAAAAAATCAATGGTTTATTATGATGATGACAGCATTATGGTAATGCTGTCTTTTATTGTGCAATTTCTGTCATCTGTAATTTTATTGTGATTCTAAATTAATTTTATCAAATTGAAATATAAATCAAAGAAATCTTAACATATACCTTAAAATAATAATCATCAAAAATTTTCTGATAATTTTTCAGGGTTAACTAGAATGGCATCAGTCTTAGTGTTTGAACAGTTTCTAGTTTTATCAGCCATTTTCTGTTTTTATGCCATATTTAGTTGACTGCCGCACTTTTCTATTTTTATGGAAAAAAAAGATCTTACTTAATAAAGTTAACTGTAATTTGTGTTTTGCTCAGGAGTTCTGTTAGGTTGACTGAATGTGAGATATATTCCTATAATAACAGCATCAGGATTTAGATATGAATATTGAAGTTGAAATTAAAGATCTTATGAATTGATTAAACTTTAAATTATGGAGCATGGGATAATAAAGTCATGTTTTATTGCCTTCTGAGGCCTGAATAAACATCTAAATGAGCTGTTGCTAATTTTTGTGTTTCAAAGCTTTTGTTGAGTTTGGAATATTTGATTAGGATTTCTTATGGAACTTTGAATATTTTTCCCCCAGGATTTCTAGACTTCTCAGAAATATTAATAAGCTTCTTCTCATACTTAGATAATTTTTGACTCTTACTATACTTAGTGTCTGGCTTCTCTTACTTTATGATTAGATTTAGGAAGTACAGAGTTATCATTGGTAAAGAAATATTGTTTTCTTTAGGAAATTAAAAAAGATAGTTCAGTATTTAAATTTCAAAAATTTAAAAGATAGTACAGATTTTTAAATGATAGTGCAAATTCAAAAAAAGTTTAGTAACAAACATTGAAACCCACAGATATTCTAACAACCCATTTTAAACCATTGAAATTGTCATCTCTGGCATGATAATAGCACATGAAGATGTGCCCCGTTTCATCTCACAGAACATTTATAAGCAAAGAGTAACATTAACCAGCTAGAGCATTTCTGCTCCCTTTCATTCTCTTTAACCCCAAGGTGTTGGACTGAAGCAGACAGTAAAAAAGAGGAACAGAAATAGAAATCCAAGATCTATACACTGGGTAATTGGTCTCTGAATAAAGAAAATTTGCAATTTTTTTTTTGCTTTAGTGTGGAGTAGTGGTGATCCAAATGTATTTTCAGGAAATCTTTCTGTTTAACAGCAGATATTAAGCTTAGACCAGTCCCAGGTTTAATGAAGTTTACATGCAGATTGTTACTAGAACTTCATTTTTATTTTTGTATGTATATTTTTCCTTACCACTCATTCTATTCTCAAATATATGTTATTCTTGTTCTCATCCACTATGTAGGAACTGCTCTGTGCCAGGAAGTAGTAGGCTCCAGGAACATGAAAATAAAGGAGACATGGTTTCTATCTGCAAAAGTCCACCATAGTGTAAGAGTAAGAATTGTCGACAATTAATTACAATTCAGTATGACAAGTGCTCAGCTAAACATGCACACAGAGTACTGTGGATGTTAAGTAGGCAGTATATATTTCAGGAAAAGATCAAAATACCAGCTTTAAAAGAGTTGAACACAAAATTGCCATTTTTGCAAATCAAGAATAGTCAAATAACAGCAACTTCATATGTATCACTCTGATGCTAATAAAGTAAGTCATTTTTTGGAGCCACTGTTTAAAAGGAATAACACTTTAACATTACATTCAATTCTTTAAATAATGTTGCATCATCTCCCAGTGTAGACTAGGTGGTTTGTCTTAATTGCCTTTACCAGTTATCGTTAAAATTTTGGAATAGTATTAATTGTAATAGAAACTGTACTATATTTGGCATTTCTGGCAAACTTCCATTTTTCTTCTGTTTTGACATTAATAGCAAGAACTTTTAGATATTCTGGACTAAACTGTTTCTTGGACCAATTGAAATAAAAATACCACTTTTAAAGTGCCTATTCAGTTCATTGGGAACCAGTTAATCCATATACAAGGAATAACCTTCAAAATAAAAAAAAATTCTTGAACTTCAGCTATATTTCAGAAATATCAACCCTACTGTTTTTACAATTAGATTTTGTATGGCAGACAGGAAGCAGTGAAATGCACATGTGGGGGAAGCTTCTCCTGTCAAAATGGAAAAGAGGTATTTGCATCTCTTTATAATGTATTGATTTATATTACCCTTGAGAGTTATAATCCATTGATCTTACTGCATCAGTTTATAGGGAATGGAATTGTGCATTTGAAACTTAGATTTCAGATTATATGCAAAGAAACATTCTTTAAGTTATTCAGCATTTGTCTCTACCGCAGAACAAATATAGCCACATTGAAAAATTATGAAATATTCACTGCTTTCTTGCCTTCCTAAGCCATATACTGTGAATTCCTTGTAATTAAATTGGCAAGTATAGTTTGGGAAGATAAGGAAGGGAAGGGCCACTGAAGAAGTTAGGTTCTTCTTTGTTTTACAAAAAGTTGAAAGTACATGAAGTTATGCAAGATCCTGAGGGAAAATTATAATTAGTGATTTTATTTTTGCTGTTTCTAGCCCTTGTTTTACTCCCCTTTTCCTCTAACTCAAGCTTGTCCAACCCATGGCCCATGGGTCACATGCAGCCCAGGATGGCTTTGAATGTAGCCCAACACAAATTTGCAAACTTTCTTAAAATGTTATGAGATTTTTTTCTGTGATTTTTTTTTTTTTTTTTTAGCTCATCAGCTATTGTATTGTTAGTATATTCTATGTGTGGCCTACAACAATTCTTCTTCCAGTGTGACCCAGGCAAGCCAAAAGATTGGATGCGGCCCAGGACAGCTTTGAACAAGGCCCAACACAAATTCGTAAACTCTGTGAAAACATTATGAGGGGCGTGTATGTTAGCTCATCAGCTATCATTTGTGTTAGTGTATTTTATGCATGGCCCAAGACAATTATTCTTTCAACGTGGCCCAAGGAAGCCAAAAGATTGGCCACCCCTGCAACTATTCAGGGGTTCTACCACCCTTTGGGCACTACTTCGATTTTGCACATTTAGTTCTTCCTTTGAACTAGATACTGTGCTAGGGTCCAAAATACTGAAATTAGTAAGCATCAGTCTCTTTTCAAGTTGCTTAGTTTCTAATAAGCAACTTGGAAACAATACATAACCTATATAAATAAATAAGGGCTGTGAAGGGGTCATAGGTATTCTAGCTAGGAAATTATTCTGTTATTTCACAGACATTTATTATTATTCTACCTTGGGGCCAGGCACTTTGCTAAATCAACTTATTTCCCTAATATAACTTCCACAGCAAAGCTAGAGATATAGTTTGTGTTATGATCCTTGTTTTATAAATGTAAAAACCATGCTTTAAGAGTTTAAGTGACTTGCATTATGTCTGATGGCTAGAAAGCAGCAAAACCAGTACTTGAACCTGCAATGATCTGACACCTCTACAGAGCCTAGAGAGGGGTTAGCCAGAGCCAAGTCATGTATATCCAGCTAAAGAAAGACCTATACAAAATGTTTCTAGAAAAGATGTGACATTATTTCACATATAACTCTATGCAAGCGTCAGGGATGGATTAGAAGACTGAAGCCAAAAGACAAATTAGTAGATTATTACACTAGTCCAGAGGGAAGTAATAAGAGCCTAACTAAGGTATAGTATCTGTGGGGATGGATTTGAGAGATATTAAGGAGGTAGATTTATTAAGACTTGGTAACAAGTCTCCTGTAGATGCAGGAGACCTAAAGGTATATTTCAAATGTACCAAGGATATATTCCAAATGACTCCTAGCTTTCTGGTTTGGAAGACTGACTAAGAAGTAGTAGTGATAAGCATTGAGAAAGGAACTCTGGAGGTTCCTAGTACCCTTCTCAGATATTTTTGCCCTGTTGGTCCTTCCTAATATACCTCAGTTTTGCTACATATAAACAGATATCCTGAATTGTTTCTTATTCAATTGCTTTCTTTATTAGTCAGCTTATATTATTAGGTTATACACCAAAATCTCAGTGGCTTAAAACAGCTAATGTTTGTTTTCTTGCTCTGGCTACATCCTGATGGGCAGCTGTGGATCTGCTCAACATCATCTTCATTCCAGGCCTGGGATGAAGAAACAGCTCCTCTCTGAAATGTGCTGCTCTCATGGCAGAAGGAAAAAGATGAAGGAATCATATACTGACTCTTAAAGAGTCTGCTTAAAAAGGGGCATATGCCACTGTATTTCACTGGCCAAAGCAATTGATAGGTTAAGCCTGATGTCAATAGATAAAGTATAAACCTTCTATAGGGAGGAGCAGTGAACTACTGGAAAAGAAGGCAGTCTACTACAGCTTCTATGATTTAACCAATAATTGCTGTCAATATCTGACTGTGTAAATTTAATCATCATCTTGCTGGCAGCCCAGAGGGGGAAAAAAAGGGCAAATACAATAAAGATGATAAAATTACCATTACCTGAATTTTAAAAAGAACTGTATATATCAGTTCCTAGTTATTTTAGACTTTTAGGAGTACAAAATTATAAGGGAAATTTTATCTTATTAGTCTTTATACTAAGGGTGGAGAAGAATATAATGGAAATCTTCCATAACTTTCACAGATGAAAAACACTTCATATACATTAAACTGTAACTTTCTTATTAGATATCTTAAGAATTATTTGTTTATAAGGAATAGAAACCCACTCAAATTAGCTCAAGGAAAGGAATTTCTGTATGAAAGCATAGGGGAGTTGTACAGAATCCAGATAAAAGAATACAGTTCTGTCAAGAAAGCACGTTGTCAAGAAGTTGTATTTTCTCTCTTCTTTTGCAGGTTTTCTGTTATACTTTTCTTCTATTCATTTGTTCCATTGTCCTCTACAAACCTGTTTTCTCTATAGAGCTCTAGTCTGCTACCTCTTGCAGTTCAGTTCTTCAGAAGTCAATTGACTAGATTTCTGTGTCCAAAACCTGAATATTTGGGGGAGAGAATCTTATTGGCGTGGCTCATGTCAGGTGTCTGCTCAATTATGCCATTGATAGAGGAAATGGAAAGCCATGAAGTATGCAGATGTGGCAAGGATGAGTAGCTCCTCCATTATCTAGACTTCCCTATTACTAGAATGCCAATATGTAACTGGAGTCATGGCTGCTTAGCTGAAACACATTCATCAGTCTCCTTTGTAGCTAAGTATGGTCGTATGACCAAATTTTGTCTAATGTGGTAAAACAAGTGTGTCAGACATTCAGGCAGTCTTTTTTTAAAGGAAGGAAGAAAGAAGTTAGCCTTCTTTCTTACCTGCCTCTTTCTGCCATCCTGGCACACAGATTTGATGACTTGAGCTAAGGACGGTAGAATAGAGAGGTAGAAGGAAGGAGCATGCGTCCTTGAAGACTTTGTGGAACCATTGTTGCAGCTTGAAATGCCTATCTCTGGACATTTTCTATATGAGATAAGGTAACTTTCAGGTTGAGCCAGTCACATTATTTGGAATTTCTCTTGTGTGCAGTAGAACCCAAACTGATAAAAGTCTGCTTTTTTTCAGGCTTGTGAGTAGGGCAGGTTCTCTAAGATAGGAATACAGCAAGGAGGAAATGAATGGCTGCATCATTATTTCTAATAGTTTTTGTAGTTGATTTTCTTGTTTTCCCTGGAAGAGAACCATATCACTTTGCAATACCCAGCATCTCCACCCCCTTCTCACTTTTGGCTGATCACCTTGTATTTCATTAAGAAACAGAAGCAGTGAGACAGAACTTGTTCCTTTTCCCACCACCAAATCTACCCATCTGCATCTGAATCTATTTTCTTCTGGCAAAGGTAACCCCTTCACTCTGTGTCCTGGTCCTCATATCCTTTTACTTTCTCATATGTTTTGGCTGTGTTATTATTATCCACTTTACTCTTTTTGCCCACTTTGCACCAAGCATATTGTTCTCATACCAAGGTCACTCCTCTTTCAGGCCTTTTCACTTTGAGTTACCTCAGCTTGAAACTTTCTTCTCTGAGTTATTCTTAGTAGCCATTCATTCTTTTTGTTCAGTCCCTTGCTCAAATATCATCTTAACAAAAAGGCCTTTTAAGACTATGTTATTTAAAACAATTGCCTCTGTTCTACCAGGGGTACTTATTCAAGTGACCTAACGACAAATTTATAAAATTTGCTTGACTTTCATAAAATACATATGTTAGGATCCACTCCTCTAAAACAGCAACAACAAAAAACCTCAGAAGGTTTAGTATGTAATTTAGAAATCAGGTTTTTTTCTACGAAGTTCTACAGTTTTTTTAAGAACCAACCACCACTGTAGTGTTTATCAACATTAATCTTCTAAATGAGTAGATTGGTTTTATTTTGTTAGTTTTATTGAATCTTGGCCTTTACTTGTGATTGTCTTCTAACAGCAGACACAATATAAACCATTCAGTAATGACCTACTTTGAAGTGAAGTCTCACAGAATTCATTATTATTATTTCCTAGCTTTTTGCCAATTTTGATATGTTAGGGATATTTGATCTCTCCTCTCTTTTTGCTCTCTCTTTTTTTTTTCTTTTTTTGAGACAGAGTCTCGCTCTGTCACCCAGGCTGAAGTGCAGTGGCATGATCTCGGCTAGCCGCAACCTCTGCCTCCTGGGTTCAAGCAATTCTCCTGCCTCAGCCTCCTGAGTAGCTGGGAATAGAGGTGCATGCCACCATGCCTGGCTAATTTTTCTAGTTTTAGTAGAAACAGGATTTCACCATGTTGGTCAGGCTGGTCTCAAACTCCTGACCTCGTAACCCGCCCGCCTCGGCCTCCCAAAGTGCTGGGATTATAGGTGTGAGCCACCACACCCGGCCCCCTCCTTACTCTTTATTATTTAGATATAGCTATACCATGAATCTCAGTTCATTTAATATATGTGTGTACATATATATTGATTTAATTGTGTTTATTGTTTAAATGCACCTATGTGAGTGTTAAACCTTCAATAGGATTTCCATTTTTATTTTGAAGTACCTCAGTACCTTGTTATATTTTTTAATGTAATTTTACATTTATTTTTTACATACTCACATTTCTTTTACAGATTCTTAATACATGTTACTGCTTTTGCTAATTCCTAATTGTATGTTGTGAACTTAGCCTGCTTTTCATTTTAACATTTATGGTCTTATCTTCTTTACAGTTACCTTGTTTAAAAAGTCTCAAAATTATATGATAATTGGTGGATTTCTGGTTTTTCTGTAAAGTACTCTTCTTAAGGTCAAAGGCAGTTATTAATTGGCATATAAGTTGCTGAATCGCTTCTTTTTAATCTGTATTTTCAATTTGTTCTGGTAATTCATTAGATCAAAGTTATGTATGTACTCAACAGATAGGAAGTTAGATTTTTTCTTTACTGTATATTTGATTTTCTTGATTCTATTGAAAAAAGAATGTTTTCTTAGCTTTGAAAGTTATGTAATGACTTCCTGCCAATTTCTTCTTCCCTTTAGATAAGCATTTACTTTAGTTTTATTAGTCATTACAAGTTAATAGAAAATTTCTGGATATGCTTTTTTATTCACAATATTGACAGTAACTTGAAATATTTTAAAGGCTTTGTTTAATGAAGTTAAAATGAAAACCCTTTGGCTTGTCTCCAAAGCATCCGGATAGATACTGTGTAGGCCTGGGACAAAGACTAGGGTGTTATGGATCCTTATATTTTATATCCTGCTGCTGTTTGGTAAGAGTCAGTTTTGTGTGAAGTTTGTATGGACTTGTCTAGTCACCTATAAAAAATGATCTGTGTAACTGACCTGTGGAAATACATTTAGTGTGATTGAAGGTGAGGATATCTAATCCTGATGGTATTGGAGAATAGCCCGGAAATCAAAGACGAGGATAAGATTGCAGAGTTATTCAACAGTCTTATTGTTTGGCTTTATGCTCATTCTCAGGTAGGATTTCTCAGTATTTTAGTGAAGTTTTAAAAATTATGTTTTGTTCCTTTTATTGTTTTAGCCTGTATGGTGTAGTATGAAAATAATTGTGGAACACAATGTGCTTACCTTTTAGTAGATATTTAAAGATCTTTGCCACTAGGTTTTGTAGTCAATTAATTAGTAATAAAAATACACATGTTGCTTAGCCTTTTCCTATATGTTGGAAGCATAGGTGAAAAAAGGCAAATAAAGTTAAAAAGCAAGTTGGGATCTAGATTATTTTGTCTTTTTAATGCTACATTCAGATGTTTGCAGAAGACAATGGTCACTTGACTTTAAGGACACAAAGTGAGAGGTTTCCTTTTGTTAGCCAAACCAGCTTTATTTCTAAGTTGTGTCAGTGACCTATAATAATTTTCAGTGGGAATCAAGGGTCATCTTACTGGATTTAATAATACCTGGGTGATGAAGTAATATGGACACATATTTATCTATGTAGAAAACCTTCACGTGTACCCCCAAACCTAAAATAAAGTTATAAAAAGGGAGACTGATATGGTTTGGCTATGCCCCTACCCAAATCTCTTCTTGAATTGTAGCTACCAAAATTCCCACGTATCATAGGGGGGACCCAGTGGGAGGTAATTGAATCTTGAGTGTGGGTCTTTCCTTTTGCTGTTCTTATGATAGTGAATAAGTTTCATGAGATCTAATGGTTTTATAAAGAGGAGTTCCCCTGCACACGCTCTTTGCCTGTCACCATGTAAGATGTGATTTTGCTCTTCCTTTGCCTTCTGCCATGATTATGAGACCTCCCAGCCATGTGGAACTGTGAGTCAATTAAACCTCTATCCTTTATAAAAATTACCCAGTCTTGGGTATGTCTTTATTTACAGCATGAGAATGTACTAATACAGAAACAAAACACTTATTATAGTACTTTAGCATGGCCTTCAACACAAATTGACAACTTAGGACTCTTGCCTTTCAGTCTTTGGTATTATGGTCATAGTATGGGAGGATGTTTGAGTGACCTTAATTCATGCAGTTTAAGATCATTCAGAGCTTTTTACTATTAATATGTATAAAAACTCCTACTACTTTTCATAAAAGTGATACTGTTTATTCCAACAAAGAAACATAAAAGACATATTTGCATATGAGAAAATTTTCAGTTTATTCTTTAAAAGTTTTAACTAATATTTTAAGAGTGTTTGCAACTTGATGCTATATATTTCTTTGAACTGTTTTTTTTTTTTTTAATATTGTAACTGCTCAAGATTATTTTGGATGAACACCTAGCACCTAAACCAGGTAAAAACAAAATGGAAACAAAACCTTACAAAGCTGTAAATCTGACATGGAAATATGCTATGCCAAAGGGACACACCTCATCTGAGCTCTTTAAGGTGAAACAACTCCCAATTTTAAGCCAGAGCAGTGACCTGGCCTTAGTATATTGTGACATTGTACAACAATCTTTATCTGCTTCACATCACTCAAGTTCTATTTAAGTTAACTTTTTGTTATTGTTGTTGTTGTTATATTTTCATTCTAATTCTTACAGCCAAAAGAAGTCCTTTTACAGAGTATGATACATTGAACTAGAGGAGCCACTTAAGTATATGTTAACCAAAATCTAAGTATGACATACCTATTAAATCATAAAGAAGGAAAAAAAAAAAGATGGTTAAAAGATAGAGAGATAGATCTATCTTTAGTGGGACAGAATACAGAGTCCACAAGCAGACCCACACAAATATAGTCATCTGATTTTTTGACAAAGGTACAAAGATTTGTTAGAAAAATGATAGCCTTTTCAACAAATTGTACTGGAATAATTGGAGATCTATGTGTAAATAAATAAATCTTGATATATACCTTACACTTTATATAAAAATTCACTCAAAATGGATCATAGACCAAAACGTAAAACTATTACACTTCTAGAGGAAAAAGGAAGAGAAAATCGATATGAACTTGAATTTGACAGTGAGTTTTTAAACACAAGAGCATGATCTGTGGACAAAAATGATGAATTACACTTTATTTAAAAGAAAAAAAAACCTTTGGCTCTGTAAAAAATGCTTTTAAGGAGACTAAAAAACAAGTCACAAACTGGGAACATAATATTTGCAAATCATATATCTGATAAAAGACTTGTATCCAGAATGTATAAAGAACTCTGAAAATTCAACAATAAGAAAACAAAGCGATTTTTTAAATGGTCACAGGAGCTTAACAGATATTTCCCCAAAGATAATAGATGAGGCAAATTAACATAAAATATATTAATTTCCTTGCTGAGGTGGACTATTATTAAGCAAAAAAGTACTTAACATTTTCTATGTATTGTTACTTCACATTTCTGCATACAGTGAACAAGGAACTAGAAGAAAAGAAAGTTTAAAGCGTACTTGTTTTTAAAACTTACCTGTTTTAATCTTCTACTGCAGGGGACATAGGCCTTACATTCTAATTCTGATCTTTAGTTTTTTTGTTTTGCAAAAATCCTGAAACTGCTCACCTTAACACAGGATTAGAGTGGTATTGCAGAAAGAGTAGGGGAAGGATGGTGAAGCTAGAGAGCTTTTCCACCTTTCCCTGATTGTATTTTTTAAAGTTTAAGTTATTCAGGATGACTCTCCCAGAACTCAGCAATCTAGGATTTAAACACAGATATCCTTGACTTTACTGCCATATTATACCTCCCTTGAGATGAGGATAAAGGAATGAGATATTGGAATGGTGTACCAAGGCAATAGAAAGTAGATGCAAGGGGATAGGTGAGAGTTTGATATCCTGATAACGGCAGGAACTTGTGTACACATGATTGCATGTCTGCAGGAATTGATAGAAAGTGTTAGTGAAATAGACTGGGGCTGGGTCATGACAGGCCTTGTATGGTATGTTTGGAAACTGGACTCTGTCCTTTAGATGGTAGAAAACAGTACAAAGATTTAAAACTGGAAAATGACATGATTAGGATTTGTTTTTGAGAGATGACCATTGTATAATAGTAATATGGAAAATCAACTGGGAGGAGCCAAGGTTAGAGATTGAGGAGACAGACATGACATGATGAAAACCTTAATTAAAGCAGTGTTCTGTTTGATAGGTAATTTGCATCCATCAAACAGTTTTTCAAACATCTACAATATCCAAGTAGCATATAGAAAGAAAAAATACTACCCTTCCCTACCAAAAAAGCTCTCAGCTGAGCCAGATAGTTAGCTGTCTGTATACAATGAAATCTATATAAAACACGAGTTTAAAGAAAGTACAGTCGCTTCATGGGACAGGGAGAGATTAATTTTGAATTTATGGATTAGGAAGTCTGCATGTATGCAAGTAGATAGCATTAATTTTAGGTCCTGAAGAAGGGGTAGAATTTGAATAAGAGGAAATGGGTGGCGAAGGGAATTTCCAGAAGAGGAAACTGAGAAAAGTACAGGGTGTATTTGAGGAATAATCTGTTGTGACCAGAGGGGAGAATATAATTAGAAATAAAGCTGGAAAGATAGGTTGGGACCAGATAATGATTTACCTTCCTGGATAATAAACTGTAACAATAACTCACTTTGCTTTATTTGTGAGTTAATTCAAATATACAGATAAAAATATTAATAGATTAATTTTTA